GATTTAACGGGGCCCCCGGGCCCTTTGAACGGGTTCAACGGCGTTGAATGTCGCCCGTTCTCCGTTCATAGGACACACAGGCGGACACCCTCTCACGACGACCCGACTTTTGTGCCATTGTGACCACGACATTCGACCTCGATGACGATGTGCAGCCGCATTTCGTCAAAGGCTACAAGTCCGATTCGACTTACTTTACGCTTTACGCTGAGCTTTAATCGGATCACCCGCCGGCTAACCACTATCGGATTTCCGACGGGTTGCTTCTCCTTCACACGAGAGGAAAGGACTTGCTAGTTGTGCCCCAAGATCGCATCTTACGGACTTGTCTTCTGGGCGAATTCCACGACGCACGACTTTCAACACACCTTGGCGTGAACCGCACATTAGCACGCCTCCGCCAGCGTTTTCACTGGCCCGACGTCCTTCATGACGTCACGAGGTACATTGAGTCATGTGCAGTTYGCCACCGTAACAAGGGTCGATCTCGAGTCCCCTTCGGCGAACTGAAACCGTTGCCGATTCCTCGGGCACCACGCCTCTCCATTGCTATGGACGTGACAGRSCCGTTYCCCCGYGATCGCCACGACCATGACGGTATTCTCACGGTCGTTGACCGTTTGAGCAAGTATGCTCGCTTCCTTCCTTGCAAGTATCATGTTGCAGCGCCCGAGCTCGCACGATTCTTGCACACCGGCTGGATTACCAACCAGGGTGTTCCGGAAGACATAGTGAGCGACCAAGATACTCGCTTCATGTCGGCCTTTTGGACTTCCCTCATGGCTGAGTCCGGTACGACAATGAAGCCGAGCTCGGCTTGGCACCCGCAGACGGATCGCCAGACGGAGCGAGCACACCAGACCGCTCAGATGATGTTGCATACGCTCATCCGTCCCGACCAGAAAGATTGGGTTGACCGGCTTCCCGACATCGAGTTCGCCTATAACACTTCGGTGCACCCGGCGATCTGCGTCACACCATTCGAGTTACATCATGGTGGAGAGAAAGCACGGATCTTCGCTGATCTCCTTTTGCCACAGGCTGCCGACATAGACGTCCCTTGCTCTCTCGCTTCCGTTCGGAAGTACCGAGACTTGCTGATCAAAGCCCGCGCGAATATGCAAAAGGCTCAGATCCGCATGCAGCAGCAGGCTAACCGACGTCGACTTCCATGTCCTTTCCGCGAGGGAGACGTTGTTTGGATCCTCTCCGAGGAATTTGCGCTCGAGCAGGACGTTTCGCGCAAACTCCTCCCGAAATGGTTCGGACCATGGGAAATCACTTCTGCCGTTGGAGACGACCCCGCAGGTCCTTCCTTTGTGGTCAACATTCCTCCGCACCTTCCAGTGCACCGGGTCTTCCACGCGTCGAAGCTGGCCATCTACACGCCACCTTCCGCCGACGAGTTTCCCGACCGTCGATCACAG